CTTTCCAGGCAGCGAAATCGCTGCTGTCCCCAGCAGCGATTCGCTGCTGCTGGGGTTTTCCCGGCAGCGAAATCCAGCAGCAGCGAATCTGCTGGGGACAGCAGCGATTCTCTGCTGAGGGGGGGAGGGAGGGAGGAAGGCGGAGGCGCGGCGGCGGTGAGGAAGAGGTAGAGGCGGTGAGGAAGAGGGTAGAGAGGGAGACGAGAATCTGAGGAGGAATATAATAGAAATGATTTAGGTTTTTTTTGGGATTAGGGTTATGTCTTAATATATACCTGATTTTTGATTAAACAAACTCTGTACCTGATTTTTAAAAACTAAACTTTAAACCCCTGATTTTTTATAATTCCTCAAAAGGAAATAAGAAAAAGGTTTACCATTATTATCACCAACTTCGAAATTCTTGCCAGAAACACAGGCACTGTAATTTGTCCCCGTTGCATTCCAGCCAGCTTTATCCCCTGACTTATATACAGCACTCATTGAAGCTCCAAAAAAAATCCGTTATCGACGCGAAAAAAACACAAGTTTTTGCATTGCTTATCAAAATGCAATTTCTCGAAATTAAGTAAAGGGTGAAAGGAGCAAAAGTCTGTTGAATATTGATTGAATAAAATGCCAACTATATAGAAGCAAGAACTAAAGGAATTAAATACAGGTATGCTTGCAATATGGAAATTTTGTTAGAAGAAAATGAAACAAAAGGAGTTTGTGTACAAGTTTAGGAAATATGTACAAGTAATGAGAGTATAAAAATTTATGAAAGGAATAATCACTTCTTTAAATTTGTTTATCTTTTTCCCCCCTAGCTTTATTTAAAATAATGACACATAAATGGTCAAGAGTGTTTACAAATGGTCAAATCATCTTTTATCCACAATTTTGTGGGACCTGTAAATACTATCTCCTTAATTATCATAGAGTTCTATTTATTTATAATTTATACAGATTATAATCGACGCTTACAATCATAAAAAATTTCAAAATTTAAGAAAATAAGAAAATGGAATAAACAACTATCTTTTTCAACTCACCCATGATACAGCACTTTTGTATAGCAGAAATCAATTGTTATATGCACAACAACTTCACCATGAATCATGCAACTACTCCATGTTAATAACTGATCCACAAACCATATTGGGCTCTGTATATATATCGATTTGTCGAACTCATTTGAATACAATCCAAGAAAAATTCATAGTATAATATTACGAAAACAGTAATCAAAGAGTTTCCAGCATTCAAAATGTTCAAGAAATCACTAGCAAACATCCTTTTTGCTGTCATCTTTGCAGCCATGAACGTGGTTACAATAGTGGCTGCAGTTGATCCAGCAGCAGGAGCAGCAGCAGGAGGAGAGCCAGTTATTGAGTTGTACATGCACGACATTTTAGGCGGCAGCACCCCAACTGCTCGGCCAATCACCGGCCTGTTAGGCACCATCTACAGTGGACAAGTGCCCTTCGCAAGGCCTCTCGGTTTTGTACCCCCGGAAAATGGTGTAGCCATTCCAAATTCCAACGGCGCAATCCCAACAGTAAATGCCAACGGTGTTCCATTAGGCACTGGATTAGCGGGTACAGCTTTTGCCGGTATCCCCAATGGCTCAAACAACAATGGTAATTTCGAATCACTAAAAACTTAAGCGATTAGAGACTTGGTAAATGTCACATTGGATCAGCTTATCTAAGAGGTTAATTATTAGAAATTTATTCATTTAAATTTTGTCTTTGACAGGTAAAACAATTAACACACAGGTAGGCCCTGACGGCTTGGGTCTAGGCTTTGGCACGATTACTGTCATCGATGATTTCTTAACCTCTGCTCCCGAGTTGGGTTCGCAGCAACTTGGGAAAGCACAGGGGGTTTATGTTGCAAGCTCTGCTGATGGATCAACGCAGATGATGGCATTCACGGCTGTGATGGAAGGAGGGGAATATGGTGACAGCCTTAACTTTTTTGGGGTGTACAAGATTGGAAGTACCATGTCTCGTCTGTCCGTGACAGGGGGTACCGGCAAGTTTAAGAATGCGTGTGGATTTGCAGAGGTGAGATCGCTCATTCCGGCTGGTCAGCATGTCCTTGATGGTGTTGAGGCATTGCTTAGGTTCACAATTCATCTTACTTACTGAAGAGTAAGCCACGTTCAAATCAAACAAGAAGAAGAAATTGTGGGTTTGTTTGTATCAGAATTCATGTGTTGATTTGTAATTTCTGTGTGTCAGTGTGGCAAAGAATGCAAAGAAAAAAAATGTATGCTTTTTTAACCATATTTGTTGTGAGAAATGGAGATGATACCGGATTAATTCAATACCAAATTATTGGAGAAAATAATAGATTATAGTCAAAACAATTGATCAAAAGAACAAAATAATTTGCAGAGAATAGAGATTTTACTATAATATGGAGAAAGAATACAAAGATTTTGCATTTATGAATTGTCTAACTTCTTACTAAATCATAATGAAGAGCCAATTATATATATGAAACAAATAGGGGACGTTCAAACCCTACTAGTAGAGTTGTAGTTGAAATAGAATGCAAGAAACAAAGTCCAAAATGGAGTAGAGGAAGAAAAATCGTGTAAGGGAAAGTTAGGTGACGTTGCTGCTGCTGCATTGGGCCAAAAACATCCTAGCACATGGCACCGGAGCACCCACTTTTAGTTCCTTTACTTCAAAACTTGATTTTCTTCGTTCCAATGTCCTCTTCAAGTCTAACAAAAATTCCTACTCTCAATTGGGCTTCCAAGTAGAATTTCAATTAGAATTCACCTTGATATGAATTTCACTGTAATGAACAAAACACGAAAAAAGAAAAATTCTCCGATACAAATTCCACTACAAGAAATAAACTTGAATTCTTCAATTAAAAAAACACAAACGAATTTCTCTATAAAAAAATTTCAAATAAAAATATTCTCCACCCTACCCCATCTAGGGACAAAAATGATCTAATAACCACCAAACAAGGCTGAAACAAGCCTTGTAACAGAGTTACAACTAAATGCATCAAAAGAATGATCTTAACTAGAATCAACACTCTTAACTGCTTTCAAACCATCGACTAAATCAGCAGAATTGTATCTATGTGAAGTCTTATGGAAAAAAATGGGTTTATTATTAGCAACTGAATACAATGACATTGTCGATGATGGGGGCAAGGCGGATTTACCCATAATTTCTAAATTCAACTGAGATGTCTTTTTCAAAGAAGACCCCAAATTAGACTTCAACGGTACATGATGAGATTCATGGTACGAGAGCTAGTAAGGGCAAGGATCCATTGATCGTAGAGGAAAGATCAATTACAATGTCACGAGCAAAGAAGGTCAAAGAAGCCATGTGATTACTTGTTCAAGTTACGGTGGATGAAACATCGATCACAACAAGTAAAATGAAAATTTTCATATTGGACATGGAGGACGGAACAAGTATTTGGCGAAAACTTATAAAATTTACAAACTTCATTGTAATAGTATATTTCTTGAACACGGAAATTAATTTTCGAACGAATCAAACGGTGAGTGAGTACCATCAATACAATGTTCCTTTTCATGAGAAACTGTTTGATTCGATCATGTTCGATGCTAATGCGCTTGTAAAAAAATTATATGTATGCCTCAATAATTTATCGTCTAGGGTCTCAAAAATTTTAGGGAAAACTAAGCACCAGAACAATATTGAGTACTGTCTGGTAAGCTCGAGCCATTATGGCTTCTTGACATGGCTATTTATATTACAGAATCTTTGGATCGAACACCCCATTTGGCGCATAGACACGATTGCAAAGCTGGGTGCAAGCCCGTTACTTAATCTTCTGGTTTACAACACATTTGTATTCTGTATTGTTTTAATATGTTGTATTAAATTGAGAGGATAAAAGAGGTTGATGATAACAAGGACAAAATGCTGGAATGTTGCTGTCTGAAGATGCAAATAAGAAACATAACCCCTTTCCCATCCTGTCTCACTGCTTAATTTCACAATGTGTAATCAATACTCAACACAGGTTTGGTCCTTCGGATACTTCAACATCTCGTCTCTTCAATGCATTTGAATTCAGTCTCTTTTCACCTCCGAAACTAGAATGTCTGGAGTGGGTCCTAAAACTCAGACAACACCTAGCACTTGGCCAACCTGCTAAGTCTCGACCTTAACCATTAATATCAAAGCCATAAATTTCTCGGGAGATAATGTCCATTTTTTCTTCTCTTTCTGAGGCTGGAATTCCACTAACCATGGCATATGAGATCATGTTCCTAACGAGCTAAGGGAGAGTTGCCTTTAGGTGATCTAGCTTAAAATTTCTTTATTTTTATTTTTATTTTCTTAAACATTGATTCAATTAGTTTTACTATGCAATATCTTTTGTTGAGAGCTTATAAAAAAGAAATTAAGTACCAAGGGACAATGATTCACTAGAAAGGTCTTGATTCCTTGTTATTAGTTAACAATGTATATAAGGGAAATGACAACATAACAATTAGCTAGTGCTTGTAATTTAAAAGAGACTACATTTGGAAGTACAATATTTTACTTCTTATGAATTGATCGCAAGATAATGGTAATAATGAAATAAAAAAGAATAAATAAGAACACAAATATTTATGTGAAAATCCAAAATAGGAAAAAACCACAAGAAGAAAAGGAGAAGAATTTCACTATAATTAATAATGAATGTGTTTACAATATAAAGATCTCAATATTCTCAATTGAAATCTGTGCTCTCTCTAACTCTCAAGATATTGTTGACTGTCTATATGGAGATATAACAATGTGGAATACATACATACATACATACATACATACATACATATATATATATATATATATATATATATATAGATGAGACTCTTTTTGGAGTTTTATATGAAGAAGAAAACATAAAATTCAAAAAAATTGGGGTAAACCCGTCAAGGTGGTACCTGGGGTGTAATCTCGAACAGGGGCTTCGATGCTGCAACACTGGGCTTCCTATTTCTTTTCTCTTCATAGGCGTTGCGGGACAGAGACGATGGTGCTGCAGCGCTCACTTTCGATAATTGTGCCTCAAAGTTATTTTTCTTCATTTTAAAGTCCTTTTTTAAACCAGTCTCAATCCTTGATAAATTTGATCTTTATTAATTAGGACTCTCAAAATAAAACTCCTTAAACTTTTTCTATTCAACCAAAATACCCAATCACGTGGAATTTATGTCACACCACAACAAATATCCACCCTGAACCAAATCCAACACAAGGAATTCAAAATATATCTCCAATTAAACAGCACTCTTCTTCTCCAAACAAGTCCCAATAGGTTAAATCAATGACAAATACCAACTTCAAGCAATGCTCAAACTTAACAATGGGAAGTAATTTTGACATCATATCTGCAAGTTATCATTAGTATCAACCTTGCTCACTACAATATCACCATGAGCAATCACATTACGCACAAAATGTTACATCAGATCAATGTGTTTAGTCCTCTCATGAAACATTTGATCCTTAATCAAGAAAATAGAAATCTACAATATACTGTAGAAATCTACAAGTTTTCACTAATTTCACCAATCAATCCTCTCAACCACATAGCCTTCTTACATGCCTATGTAATGGTCATGTACTCTACTTTTGTTGTAGACAAAGTTACTGTGTTATGCAAAGTAGCTTTCCAGTTGATAACACAGCCTCCAATGTTAAACACGTACCGTGTAAGTGATCTTCTCTTATCAAGATTCCCTACATAATATGAATCCACAGACCTAATGACTATATCTGTATTTCTACCAAAATATAAACAAGCATTATAAGAGCTCCTCAAGTATCTAAATATCAATTGCACTACTTTCCAATGTTCCTTGCTAGGATATGTCATATATCTACTAACTGCATTGACTGCATGAGCTAAATCTGGTCTAGTACAAACCATAGCATACATAAGTGAACCAACTACACTGGAATAAGGAATCAAAGACATGTAATCAATGTATTCATCTCACAGAGGACACAAATTAGATGATAATTTAAAGTGGGTAGCTAGAGGAGTAGTGACGACATTAGCATTCAGCATATTGAACCTTTGAAGCACCTTCCCAATGTACCCCTTCAGACTCAAATACAATCTGCCAGCCTTCTTATCCCTCAAAATTTTCATACCAAGAATCTTCCTTACTATACCTAAATATTTCATGTCAAACTCCTTACTAAGTTGAGATTTCACCTTTCTCTTAGCTGCTATGAGCATATCATCAACATATAATAACAAATATGTGATCGATCCACCATCTCCATTTCTGAAGTACACACAACTATCATAATTACTTCTAATGAAACTATAAGTAGTCATGAATGAATCGAACCTTTTATACCACTGTCTCAGTAACTGCTTCAGTCTATACAAGGATTTCTTCAACAAGCACATATAGTCTTTATTTTCAGAAACTATGAAACCCTTTGGTTGTTGTATATAAAAGCTCTTCTCAAGTCTACCATGTAAGAATGTTGTCTTGACATCCATCTGTTCAAACTCCAAGTCATTCTTAGCTACCACTCCAAGTAAAGTCTGAATAGAACTATGTTTTACAACTGGTGAGAACACATCTGTGAGTGAACACCTAGAATCTGACTGTGGTCATTTGTTACCAATCTGGACTTATATCATGCATCTTCCATCCTTGATATGTCTTCCTTTTTTTTTGAACACCTACTTGCAATGAACAACCTTTTTGTCCTTAGGTAATTTCACCAAGTTCCAAGTATTATCTTTATTCAATGACTCCATATCTTCCTGCATACCAATCAATCATCTGCTAGAATCACTGCAACTGGCTGCCTCTGAATATGTAGCAGGCATATATAGTAGGCTCCTCAGTGGAATCAATACTGTAGCCACACTCAGTGCATAAGCTACCAAATCCGCTTCTTTATATTTTTGTGGAGGTCTAATCTATCTACAGGGTCTATCCTTAGCAATTGAGTATTTTGATGTTGCTAGTGGTGTAGGCAATGTATTACTTTATGTCAGCGCTGAACTAGATTGATCTATAGTTTACTGTCTTGAAACCTATGAGTGTTTCCCTAGACCAATTTTCAGCTCCATTTGAGTTAAATGATTATGTTCCTCAGTTTTTATCAGAATCCCCACT